AGAAATGGCATGCTGGCAATCTCGATACCTGGTATACAGACAGTTGTGTTTCATTTTTACTCCCAATGCAACTCAGTTTGGTGTATATGCGATGAAATACCCAGAGATTTTATCCGGAACACTGCTGTTCCACCACGCCCGCGCCGGGGGGTGGGGGGTGGGGATGGGGGCATGTCTAGGGTTCGTTTCTATCCCACTTTCGGATTACAGTTTGTGTGTGTGCAAAAAACGTAACCGCGTTATCTGGTCGGTGTGTAGTGCAATAACGAAAAAAACTAATCAGCCCGATTGTGGAATGCACTCGGCTGACTGGAACAGATGGAATTAATCAGCCGGGGACAAAAACACATCTAACTACCGCCTGGGGGGGGGGGANGGACAGACAGACAGGAGGGGTAGCAGAGGATTGGGGGTGGGTGGGCGGGTGAGTAAAAGAGATCACTGGGAACCGGTTCGTCAGTTTGAATTCTGTCGATCAGACTGAAAAAGAAGAATAAAAGGAGAATAAACAGATGATGTGGTTAGTCTGGGTTGTTTCCAAGGCCCATCCTCACTCTGTCCTCATGTCTCTCACACCGTTCTTTTCTGATCAGTACGGTGGAACAAATAAGTGGATCGCTTATTTTTCGTTTAGTCTCTTGGATCAAGTAGATCTTCGGAGGAATTTTAGATTCAGTGTTTGTATTAGCTCATTCGGTGTTTCACACGTATCAGGCACTGTTAATGATAATGTTCGGTGTGGTTTACACTCTTTGGGAGATCGTAATTCCTCACTACTTGAATGCATTTAAATGCAGTGGAAATGTTTGTAATAACTGACAAAGAGCAGTGAACAAAGAGTGAAACCCACACCGAACAGCATTATTAACAGTGTGTGGTGCTTGTGAAAAACCGAATGGGTTAATTCAAACATTCATTATCTAAATTGATCGAGCCATTCGCATAAGATAATAATCGTCGACTCTGTAAGGGTTTGAAGTCCCGATCCAAAATTTCGCCGTTCGAGTCTTGACACGGGGGACTCATAAACTACGCGCACTGCTGATGAGTCCCAAACAGGACGAAACATCTGTCCCGGTGAACTCTTTTCTGATTATCACAAACATTTCCAAGGCATGCAGATTTTTTAGGGCTTCATTTTTTTTGAACGTCTCAATATTGATCGGACAGAATTCAATAAATCATAAACAGCAGTGTATTTCATTCCAGACTTTGCAAGATCAGACAAAGAACAATACCTATTTGGCACACGAGGATAAAACTGTCAGATTATCACATTATTTTAAAGGCTAGACATAAGAATTTTTGAGTAATAATAGTCCCGTCAAATGCCGGTGAACTGCAGAAAGCATATTGTGTTGCACTAACAGCTAACCAAATAATTTGGACCGTCCCTTTGTAATGGTAATTGCGTGAAATGGAGACTAAAAATACCCAGATGTATATATA